CACAAGGTCAAGAGATCGAGACCATCCTGGTCAACATGGTGAAACCCCGTCTCTACTAAAAATACAAAACATTAGCTGGGCATGGTGGCGCGTGCCTGTAATCCCAGCTACTCAGGAGGCTGAGGCAGGAGAATTGCCTGAACCCAGGAGGCGGAGGCTGTGGTGAGCCGAGATCGCGCCATTGCACTCCAGCCTGGGTAACAAGAGTGAAACTCCGTCTCAAAAAAAAAAAAATAATAATAATAATAATAATACTTTCCATAAGGTTGTCTTTCTAGCCTCTTCCCTGTTAAATTTAGCATGCACGCTTATATCATGAACCTTATTTATGATATTCTCCACAAAACAATACAAAAACATCCATGGCTTTCTGTTGAAAACAGGTGAAGCTCTTTAGTCTCACACTCATGGCCTCTGTATCAGCCTCACTGGTCCCTGCACCCTCATGTACTGTGCCGTACACCCACAGTGTGTGCGGTGATCCAGGAGGGTCTTACATGCTCCTTAGATCAGAAGGTCCTTGAATACAGGGCTTGGCTCTTATTCACTCTTGTACTTATTATAATACCTAGTATAATAAATTGTTGAATAAATGTTTTCGCTCTAAAAATTATTTCATCAACTCCTTAATTAATGGTAACTAGTAATCTACAACAGGCAAACGAATAAACATGTCATAATTTTACAACTAATAGGGGCTAATTACTCACTGTGATAAGGTCATCTCTTGCTCTGAGGACTTTGAGCCTTGCTTGATTCATCAAATTGGACATCTTACTGCAAAATGATATTGAAAGGCAGCCATCAGTAACAACTTAAAACTGTAGAGAGATGGGTGAGGACGGTCAGGCCCAGGAACTAACTTCTTGCAACTCAAGAAACGTCCTCCCTTTCAGAATATACCTTGCACATGTCTCATCTCAGTGCCTGGCTATTTGGTGAAGTCGCCAGGCCTACCGACTCCAAGTCTATGAAAGTGGTGAAACTAGGCCGGGCGCGGTGGCTCACGCCTGTAATCCCAGCACTTTGGGAGGCCGAGGCGGGTGGATCACAAGGTCAAGAGATCGAGACCATCCTGGTCAACATGGTGAAACCCCGTCTCTACTAAAAATACAAAAAATTAGCTGGGCATGGTGGCGCGTGTCTGTAGTCCCAGCTACTCAGGAGGCTGAGGCAGGAGAATTGCCTGAACCCAGGAGGCGGAGGTTGCGGTGAGCCAAGATCGCGTCATTGCACTCCAGCCTGGGTAACATGAGCAAAACTCCGTCTCAAAAAAAAGAAAGTGGTGAAACTGTTTAGTGAATAGCCCTTGGCCAAGAAGGAGACTTATGACTGGTATCTCGATCACCACACTTACTCTGGACTCATGCGGGCACTCCAACTTCTTGGACTCTACAGACACGAGCATCAGGATTTCATGGATGACCAAAAATGACTAAAGAAGCTTCACGGAAAGGGGAAACCAAATAAAGAAGGGAAAAGAATAGCAAAAAAGAAATAGTGTTGGTCCCTCAAGAGGGAGAATTTCTTTCTCAGTGGCAGAGAGAAGAAAGTGCATTTGTCTTTCCACATATTGGAGGAATGCCATCTTCCTAAATGAAGGTTATTTGGAGGAACACAGTCATCTCCTTGTTGAAACCTCATCTGGTTAAATTGTGGCTAGTTTCTTGAACACATTCTAACTGCAAGATTATTCTGGCCTTGGCCATGTAATGTGAAGTTTACCTAGTTCTCTAATGAAAGGAATACATTAAAAAAAAAACCAAACAAACCTCGTAGAGAAAGAACTTGAACTCCTAGGCTCAAGCAGTCCTCCTGCCTTGGCGTCCCAAAGCACTAGAACTACAAGTGTGAGCCACCTTGCCCCGCCTGCAGTTTAATCTTTGAATCCCATGAGGCTTCCATTTTCACAAATGAAGAAAGGGAAGTTAAACAACTTGTCCAAGGTCATATTAGTAGCAGGTGGTCAAGTTAAGCTCTCCATCTATATATGCCTGACTCCAAAGACCTGCTCTGTCTTCATCTCATGACTTCTGAAAACTTCCTTAGCTTAGTACTGCAACCAGGATCTACTTACATTTTCTTCTGCTGCTCAATCTGTTTCTCTTTCTTCTCATAATACTCCATAATCTTTAGTCTTTGGGTTTGCACAAGCCGACCTTTTTCTATGTTGAACTCTTCCTCTGCCTACAGGGGAATTAGTCGATATTAATTCATTACATCAAATTTTGATGAAGTTTTTTTTTAACCACCTGGTGACCTGCGGTACTTGCTTATGAACATTTATTCCATATATAAAACATAAAATTTATTGTGGCTCATTTTCAAGGATTCTAATTTATTCAAAAGAAAGATCAGCAATTTTCATTATAAATGATGTACCAGGAAACTAAAAATTTCATCAAGGATAACAGTAACCAGCAAGGTACTAAAGAATATAATTGGCCAGGCACAATGGCTCACGCCTGTAATCCCAGCACTTTGGGAGGCTGAGGCGGGCAGATCACCTGAGGTCAGAAGTTCGAGACCAGCCTGACCAATATGGTGAAACCCTGTCTTTAAAAATAAATAAATAAATAATAATAAATAAATTTTAAAAATCCCAGCACTGGGCCAGGCACGGTGGCTCACGCCTGTAATCCCAACACTTTGGGAGGCTTAGGCAGGTGGATCACGACGTCAAGAGATCAAGACCCTCCTGGTCAACATGGTGAAACCCCGTCTCTACTAAAAATACAAAAAACATTAGCTGGGCATGGTGGCGTGTGCCTGTAATCCCAGCTACTCAGGAGGCTGAGGCAGGAGAATTGCCTGAACCCAGGAGGCGGAGGTTGCGGTGAGCCGAGATCATGCCATTGCACTCCAGCCTGGGTAACAAGAGAGAAACTCCATC